CAAGCGATCTGTGTCTCGCCTGAAGTGCTCCGTAGGGAAAGCGGAACGTGTCAGCGTCACCCTAGACATTTCGATATGGTCTCTTGGTATTTCTTGCTTCCTGGGTCCTCATAATTTGCGTCGTCTTGTTTTCATTTGTTTGGGACTTTTAATTGTCAGTTGTGGACGGTAGTCTGTGTGGTTCCCCCCGTAAGTGGTTTTCGGTATCTTAAACCACGTTGTTCTAGTGACTTGGTCATAGGACTTTTGACCCCAGTCGTCAAATTCCGACAGCACTGTCAACCCAGCGCTGCAACTGTGTTCCTCGGCGATAGTTATTGTGATGGTCCTGTAGTCAGAAGTTTGGTGATGACGTAAAAATCTAAATCATTGTCCTCACAGGCTGCTGGACAAGGGAGCCCGTCACTTCTGACCGTACGACTGTTGTCTCTTACACTAGCCAGCCGCGTACACAGACATGATGGTAGTCCCAGTTCACACTGGACGACAAATAAATCGGGCTTTGGGTTACGGGTCGAGGTTTTCCCAATTAGTGGTGAGCTTTGAGGACAGCGGGTTCAGTCGGTGCGTCGCGCCTTACTGGCTTTCGGCTGCTAATATAGGGCGCGTTGCGAATGAAATGAAATGACAATGATCTGTTGTCGGAAAACTTTGAGTGAACATCCCTTGTTCGCAGGTCAAATTCCGTGCATTCATTTTCTATTTTTGCATGCTGTGACGCTGCCTTGTAAACGGGAATACAACCAAGGTGAACAAGTTTCAGGGGACAGGTTCTGCTTCTCGGCTGGGTGAGTGTTGCAGGGAGCTGTAATCCTGCAGTCTCCCGGGGCTTTCCATTTTTAAGGTGATTGTCGACCAGCGTAGGGCCGTTTGTACATTGACGCTGGAGTACCTACGTTTGGCAGTATTCCAGCCCTTGAGTTTCCTTCGGGTAGCATGGCGGCCAAACACCGAAACGGTGTTACAGCTGAGAGAAACGTTTGAGTCAGCCTGGGGGTTGGGTGTTCCGTCGGCTGTCGATTTTGCGTTGTGGGGATAGAAGTTCGTTCTTAGGAGGGACAACTCGGATAGCCACGGTTGCTACGCTAAATTGGAGTAGCGAATAGACTCCCTGGAATTTGGGTACTATGTCGTGGCATGAATTAACCAAGATCCCACCGGAGTTGTTGGATAATTGCCATAGGCGTTTAACACTACCCACTGTAGCCCTGTCATTTGCAGAGTAGCATGTTGGTTGTCGCCTGCGTTGTTGTAGTGGCTAGTTCGGAGTCCGTTGTGTTGTCCCATAGAAGGTATGGCTCTTACCCGCATAACAATGCCTTCATCTTGTTTCTTGATCTCGGTAAAAGTCATGTTCTCACGACTGGTGTCTATTAAGGACGTAGGCGGTCTGAGTGAGTTTATTAGGAAACACCGCGGATTCGTAGTGATAGTCTCTAAGTGGAAATAACCATTATCCTGAGCTTAGCTGGTCTGATCGGCCTGCACAAGTGTTCGAAGCACCCGGGACAGTAAATGCGTAGAACTTGTGGCTTTTCCTTTACCTCCGTAGCCCAGTGAACTGTACTTTGGGGTGTTCATGCGACCAACATAGTGGTTAGAGGTCTCGTCAGCCTACTGGATCGCAACTCGGTCCTCGGAAATTGTGGCTACTTGCTGGGCCTACGCTAACCACCGCTGGATTTCAGTTAGGTTTTGGAACCAAGCCATTTGGTTGAGGACCCTAACCGTCCTAACTGTGGCCGCTGTTACCACAACATAGTCGTTAACGAATAATTTCAACCCACCTACGTACGGCAGGGTGTGTGAGCGGAAACAAGTTACAACCGTCGCCTAGACTTGCTACATGTATTTGCTCTCCTTCCCCTGCTCGCCCCGTCACTGGCTGCAATATCTATGGTAACCTCCGTCGCGGCTGATGCTATTATTACAACCTCGTAAACAATTTCTTGTTACTTCGTCACATACAAATGGGACGTGCACGATAAGTACCTCATTTTCGGCTGCATAATTATACATAGTCGCTGAATGGCGCTTTAGGTATCACTGATTTGGGTCAAAAACACTCATTACATGCATGTAGAGACCGTGTAAGTCACCGGGGATTATAATTTTAAAAACTTAACACCTTGGGCAAAGACGGAACAAACACTTAAAGACGTAATTGTGATGCATGTGAACCGATTTAAGGTTCTATTTTCTTTGAACTCCTACGGAGCCTTTCATGAACTCCTCATAAGTCACAAAAATGAATAATTGAAAAGTTGTGGTAATAGTGATACCCGTCGGTCGCCATGGCCATGGATACTTCGGAACTATTGTCCAGACCCCGATGTTCTGTTAATCCAACAAGATTTCACGTTTGTACCCGGAAGAAAGCAGGGCAATAAGTCGTTCTTGCGTGTCCAGTAAACTTGTTTTCTGTAGATGTGTGCGGTTAAAGCGTGAATTTACTGACCGGAAGGTCCGTGGTTCGAATTTGACCTGAGCCTCTCGGCTTACCCTACCTGGGCTTGAGCAACGTGGCATTATCCAAGCCCTCGTTCTACCTTGAGGGGGGGGGCATGGCACCTAGGCGCCGGAGGGTTGTTGCAGCTGAACGATTATTTTGCCTCACACGAAGAGTGGAGACCGGAGTATGCTTGTTCGGCCTGCGCACATCGTGCTGCGGAAGTCCATATCGCCATCGAGCCGAACAGTCTAAATCAATGGTCGCCTGTTGCTAATCCCGCGCAGTTTGTTGACTTATAAATCAAAAGGACCCACCAGAAGCGGCTCCTCTAATGCCTGGCAGTTGGTCGGGTATTAGCGATCGCTGAAGGCAGATCCCAAAAGCGCTTCTCAAAGCCGGAAATTCTGTCTGCAGTAAAAACCTGCCAAAATTGTCCGTACGTGGCATCTCTGATAGAACCGTGGCTTTGCTGGCGACAGATACCTGGCAACAACCACAACTCATCCCGACTCCAAGTAAAGCTGAACGTCCGTGCGAATGGCGATGGTTCGAGCCAAAAGAGTGGCGGATGCGAAAAATCCTATAAATGTCCGCAGACCCTTTCACTTGGATCGCTCCACTGGTCCTCAGAGACCTTTTCTCAGTGGAGCTATCAGGGACCAAAGTGGCCACATGGAGAAGGTTCGGACAGTAATTCGAGCAAGAAATCGTTTGGCCACCTGATACCCGCAGTCAGTATGTATGTCCTTTACGTAAATGTGTACAGTATACATAGAGTCCCTTCGGCCTCCTAAGTGTACCGTCGTGCACCTGTCTTACGGAGGTCCCACTTACTGTACTCAAAGATGATGAATTCTTCAGCCGTTTTGATCGTAGCATGTTTACGTTTAGCTGGGGCAAAGGGACCGTCGCATACAACTGGGGTCGGTCACTTTTGAGGAAGGGTACTTGCATAGAATGTGATAACTGCAGGGGCGTGAGTTTTCACTCTTTGGCGTTATTATTTGTTCGCCGTCTTAAGTGGTGCGTGAAATTTGTGAGCATCAAACCGGAGTTCGATCGTGTAGAGGCCGCGTTGACGATATCTTCAGACTCCGTCAGGTGTTAGAGCAACACTGTTTATACGGACGGTCCACAGGGTTGATGCCCATTGTTTCCAAGGTCACGTCTGACTTGATTTGTCAATGCTTGACTACACTAGCTCAACAGTGGATGCCATAGATTGTACGTAATCCAGTCCCAATATTCATACTTCTGAGCATAGGGCCGTCTGCTGTGTTCTCTAAGGGTTTCGCATGACGTCCGACAGCGATGTCGCAGTAACAGCCGTATTGTTCTGTTGTTGTGAGACAGTCTTTGTGGATAAATGGTGCGACGCTTCATGCTTTAACCATTGATGCCAATTGTTGATGTTAGATGGGGTCAGTGACTCGAAGGTTATTAGAAAACAGGTAGTTAGTCGTGGAACAGGTACTTCCATCGCGTATATCCAGCACCATCAACTACTGCGGCTTAGCCGCGTGCTGCGCATGCTTAAACCACTGAGATGAGTGTTGTTCTCCTTGCCTCATTGAGAATGCCGCGAAGTGGACAAGGCATGGCTTGAGAGACTGGAAGAGATTACGAGGTGTTTGTGTTTTGTTGGTGCAGTACGCCTTCCAGAATGAGGTCCGTGTGAACTTTCCTGAGCTGGACTGGAAATGTCGCTAATCGGCGTCAGTGGGGTTTGTGTTTTCAATTTACAAGTTGTCTGGACGTTTGAATGTGTGGCCATCTCAGATGTCGGAACCACCTACGGCCTCGGAGGTTTACGACTGCATATGTTCCCTCAAGCGACACCGGATGACCTTCCACCCGCATTGTTCAATTCAAAGGGTGAAGTCCTCAGTCAGCGCTTGTCCGATCTGTTTGCTTGCATTTGCGAGTCTGTCCCAGACAACTGGGGAGAATCGGTGATAGTGCCCGTTTTCAAAAAAGGGGCGCGTAGTGAGTGTGGTAACCACAGGGGGATCAGCTTGACCCCGGTTGTAACGAGACTGTTGACGTCAATTGTGCTTCGTCGCCTTACGGTGGTTCGTGAGATGCTGACTCGAGAGCAGCAAGCGGGATTCCGGCCTGTTAGGGGTTGTGTTGACGAAATGTTCACACTGCGTCAGGTACTGGAACAACGCCATACGTATAAGCGACCCACGATTCTAGTATTCCTGGATTTCCGAGACGCATTCGACTCGGTTGAGCGGTCTGTTCTTCTTGAGACGCTTGCCCACCAAGGAATGCCCCGAAGGAACATAATACGTTCTTTGTATTCTCAGACTTCCGGACGTGTGAGAGTGTACGGAGAGCTCTCCAAAAGTTTCCGTACACAAAGTGGTGTCCGTCGGGGATGCCCACTCTCTCCGTTCCTTTTTAACTTTGTGATCGATGAAATAATGAGACGAACGCTGGAGGGTCTCCAAAACCCTGGTGCTCAATTGGCCTGTGAAGAAAACCTTGTCGATCTGGAATATGCAGACGACATCGTTCTCATGTTCGAAGAGGAGGAAAAGGCGCAAGTATTCTTGGATGAACTGACCAGTCATCCCGTCCTTTGGTATGTACTTTCCACCTACAAAGTGTAAGGTCATGCTTGTGGACGTGCAGTCACTGAACACGCCCCTTACAATCCAGGGAGAGGTACTGGAAGTTGTGGAGCGTTTTACGTATCTTGGAAGTTGTATTAGTTCTGATTG